GGGGGGGGGGGGGAGAGAAACTAGTCAGTGTCAATAGCTGTAAGGGAAGGACTAAAACCCACCATTAAATACTCCTCCTTTTCCTCCCTATGACACAGTACAATATACAAAGGAGGAGGAGAGGTGCACTTATATAGAAGGAGAGGGAGAGTCACAAGGGATTACATACCATAGAACAAGCATGATTTGTCATCATGTTCTTTTCTTTCTTGAAGCTCCTAGTTTCTCCTCTGGTCTTTGTAATTCCAAAAAAAGGAAAAAAAACCTAGCTATCGTTTCGACATTTTTCGATTTGTTCCCCTTGTTGGTCCTGTGTTGGTTTGAGAGGTTGAAGCTGCCAGCATGATCTGGTAAAGATCCCAATCACTCTTTATCAAATTCTTTTTGCTCTTCCATATATGGGTAGGTAGGTATACATACAGAAGCTGGATTGATATTTTTTTGCTTTTACTTGTTTTGGCCCAAAACCCTTGAATCCTTTTTATAAGTTTCTGAATCAATTTTGTACTCAAGAATGGTTTTGGAAACACAGATTAATAATCCATTTTCTAAAAGGGGTTTTAAGTTAGCAGTGGATTTAGAGGCCTAATTAGGACTTAATTAGGCTGTTTTAGATATAAATGGTTCCATCAGGTCATCTAGCAGCTTCAATCACTCACTCACCAACAAATTAATTAAAACAAGAACTTCTTAGAGATGGATGCATTATACTCTTCAAGTTTTCTCTGAGGAAAGTGGAAACTGCAACTTCTGCACTAATTGCGGGTAAATCTTCCCTACTTCTCGAATTCTTTTTTGTTCTTAAATGCTGAATCGAATCTGCTATCAAGTCTCTCTCTTTTTGTGCCTTCATGTTTGTCTTGACTTCAGTGGTAGCTAGCATACGGCCAGAATCAACCTGCAGAACAAATCCCAAAACTCAAAAAAGACACAAGATGGTTAGAAAGAAAAATAGCATACTCATGATGTATCATGTTTCAGGACTTCTCTTTATGGATCTTGAGTATCTAATGCTTTGTGGTGTATGTACAAACCTTGCTACTTCTTCTTATTCTTTTTTATTTTTTTTTTTAATTTATTGGTCGAATTCGAGTTAGGAGATAGAATAGAAGAAGAGTGATTTGATATATATTTACTGCTCTTGTTTTTGGCATAAGTGCTTTACTTTGATATCAAGAAATAAATTTCTCTCTCTAAAGGTAAGACTGTCAAAAAAATATTGTCAAATCAATTAATTATATATCAAAATTTATATTGGGAAGTTGAGTTCTGAAAATGATGATTTAATATCTGTGTTTTTTTTGCCTTAAGTGCTTATAATTATCAAAAGAAAACAAGTTTTAGATATGAATTTTAGCATGAATATATATATTCCCCATGAAACACTGTATAATTACTGAAGAACTTAACTCTTATGTATATTGGCTTCTTCTCAGATTGGTTACTTTATTCTTTTTTCTTTGAGTAATATATATAGTATAAAGTACTATTAATTAATTCCTGCACCAACAAGGATTAATGAACCGACTCTCACACTTTCAGTAAATGATCTATTGATTCTGCATCTGTATTCATGATGTGTAATCATATGCTTTTTTTTTTTTTTTTTTGATGTGTAATCATATACGTTAGTAGTAGAGGAGTTGTACAGATTAAGAAAATTACTTATTACCATAACGGTATATGCATATACACGTGTTGATCATGATGCATTTGCTCTCTACATGTTTAATATATTGGCCTCTTAATCAATTAGTTATATACACAGCTATAACTATAGCCATATAGATTAGATCCATATATATCAATAAAGTATTTTTTAGATGGAATTGGTTTTGTTTTTTAGTATTAGAATTATTAAAATATTTTTAATAAATTTCTTTTACATAATAATTCATTTATATTATTTTAATAATTTTATTACCCAAACAACGTTATGTAGTCTCATTAGAAAAACATGAAACTATATATATGACATTGTGTTTATTTATTTCTGTTCTTGCTTATTGGCTCCAAGAAAAAAATTAATAGTAGAATTATGCTTTAATTGGCATGCAACTAATTACTTCAATTTTTTTTTTTTTTTTGTGCTTGGCTATCTTGGAAGGTTTAAGGAACATTCAATTTTTTTTTTTTTGGTTTAGCAATTATAATGTCCTTAAGTCAATTTGTGCACATCTCAAAGTCCTCCTTCAGTACGGTCAAAGATTGGCCATTAATGGGGCTTCAATTGGTTTATATAACCCTTTTTGTGGACAATATTAAAATGAGAGGAAATATTGGCAAGTTTTAGCTCCTCTTTTCTCTAATACTTAATTTCACTTTTGAACAGGCTTTTGTGGCCTAATAGTTACTCAAGAGTTGTAAGTCTTTGACATTGATTTCAACTCAGGCTATCAGTCATTGTATGCCTCTTCCCAAGTTTCCCCATGTTATAATTGAGAAGGAAAAAAAAGATCTGCTGCCTGTTCTCTATTTTTTGCACTAAGTTTTGACAGTAGTACTGGTTGGTTTTGGAAAAACAATAGCATGTGATATTGACTTTCTTGCTTGGAATTAAGATGATATGGTTGATTGATGAAGGAAATTTAATTAGGTCAATAAGAGCGCCGGCCCTGATGGAGAAACGACCTAATTTAGATGTGTTTGTCGTCCATGATCAAAATATATATCATTCCCTATTATTCATTATCATCACATTCATGTTACATGAATGAGGGGTTGCCTGCAAATAATGAAAAAGAATCTTGCAATTGGTCATTCTGATCTTAATTGCTGGACCTAATTTTCAAACGGAAGTCTCAATTGTTCAATCAAAATTTCTTTGGCGGTTGAACTAACAGCAATAACTCTCCCATTTTCCTTTCTCACCCTCCAATGTAAAGGTTGCGTAGATTTACCTAAATCTATGTTTTTTCTTTTTAAAGGAAAAAAATTCCAATTACGTATCTAGTTGGATCAAATCAAAATCATTCATAAAAATAGGTAAATAAATAAACTACAAAAAATTACATCTACCTGACCTCATTCTAACATTACTAAATTAGTAATTCAATTAAAGAATAATTAATATATTTTTTAAATATTTATTTAGTTTAATTATTAAAATATAATAAAAATATAATTAATTTAATTAATTCTTATTTTTATATGTATAATTATATTTTTAAACACCCCAATAGAGTGACTCAACAGTTTAAAATTTTAAATTTTAAATTAAAAATCTTAAATTTAAATTTTAAGTATGATGAGGAGAGATTTAAAAATAAAAGAGAGTTAACATCTTTTATATAACCCATAATAAAATATACTAAAAAAATTATACTTTTAAATTTATTTTTATTTTTAAGTTTTAATTAAAAAATATAATAATCAAGTGTACCATTCTATTAACTTATTTACCGTGTCTTGTAGAAAAAGATTCACAAGATATGGATGTAGTATTGTCAATTTTTCCAAATTGCAAGTTAAAAGTCACATCATTATAGGATATGATTAATCAACCACTAATTTAGTTGCAGAAGCTTTGTCAAGCAACAAAATCAATGTTTCCAGTATCAACCCACCACATGGAGCGAGACTATCATCCCATAACTATACAAAATGTATTATGCAATCAAATCAATCCATGTAGCATTGTCCCCATTATGATTGTATCAAAAGGAGCCACGTTTGTGCCATAAATAATTATGAGACCGTGTGTGACATAATCATGCCGCTTAAAGGCAAATGGAAGTTCTTCATTTGTCTTTCTTTAACTAGTTGATTTTATATGTTTGTCTCATGAGATGTGTTCACAGTTAAATTCTAACTTTAAAATAAGTAAAAAAAAAAAAATTTAAAACAAAAGGATTATTTATTATTGCATAGGGCATCATTGATGTTAAAAAAAAAAAAAAACTGTTGACCATCTTCAACATTATTAGTGTGTTTGCTTAAGTGTTATTGTCATCTCAAATTTCAACTGTTTGAAAGAATCAAATGGCCTAACAAAGATTTTTGTAATTAATATGGGATTAGATTGCCGGCTCAAATTGACTGGTTGTCTGCCTGTCTAATGAAGGTGAAATTCCACCTTCCATTTCATATTCTTGATATAACCATTAATCAACGCCACTAATTGTCGGCCCAAACAAATACTATAAGTCAAAGTGGGAAATAAAATTTTAAAAAAAATTAAATAATTAATTAAAAAATGGTAGTAATTGTTTAGCCATCACGTGTATTGAACAATATCTTCAAAGTCCCTTACTTCAATTATTAGTGTATTAACTATTAATCTAATTTCATTTTAAGTTAGAAAGTTAATTTTATTTTCAAATAACCGATAAACTTTTTAAAATATTTTAGAATAGTATATAGTATAAAATTTTCATTAATTTTAATCAAAAATTTAAATCAAAATTAAAATAGAGTAATTCACAATAAACTATGCAAATTATTAAAACACAGTGGATTGTACTTCAAATGAGAATTATTAAAATAAAAAGCTGAAGTATTATGAAATAAATGTTATACTTTCTTAAATAGTAAAAAGGAACTTATCATTTTTATGAATTAATTTTATTTCAAAATTAATTTTAATGAGTAAAAATTTACAAAAAATATAATTAAAGATTAATTTGACCAAATGAAGTGAAACTGCTGTTAGAAAATTAATAAGTTAAGTTAAATTGAAATAAAAATAAAAGATAATATATGAATCTAAAAATATTTAAAAATAATAAACGAAACAAAAAAAATACTAAATTGTTTATTAAATTAACCCTCCTTAAAATTATTAGAGAAGGTGTTTGTGATGAATGAGTGTTCCTTTATATTATGAGTCACATGCGAGAGAGTTGTTTACTTACTTTCCGAGTCAAGAGTTATTTGTGACCAAATAAGGCATGGATGGATCGAACTTTGCAATCAAAGTTATTCACTTGTCTTCATGTTCCACAAATCATGGAGTTAACTGCTCAAGTTGTTGCCAAAAGCCAGATTTGGATAAAAAAATTGTTGAAAAATTAAGATAACAAATAAATCCTAATGGAATGACTCAACAATTAAAAACTTGATACTCTAAATTAAAAATCTCAAGTTTGAGTATAGAGTTAGGTGGAAAGAGATTTAAGAATAAAGAAAGATTATATACTCTTATATATAGTCTAAAATCACCATGTACAAAAAAAAAAAAAAATCAAGATGACGGATTTGCTAATGTTTGCATGTAGAAACAACAGAGGGTTCAACGAAATAGCCCCGTGAATACACGTAGATGTTGGAGATTGTTTTGAACTGCAACTGAATTATACATTTCATGAAGCAAAAGATACACCTGCACAAGTCATCAGGGGGGGCAATCCGCCCAATTGAAAGGGCAATCACCCCTTAAACCATGTTTCACAATCCAGTCAGTCACCAACCCTATTGACCTTTCTATATAGGTAACGATGCCCTAGATTCAAACCTTAGGCTTCTCGTTCTCCTGCCGTCTAAAAAGAGAGGCTACTGAATTACTAAATAGACGTGCCTGATGCACCAGGGAACTTAACTAACTCTTCAATAGAGTTGAAAATGCTTAATTTAAAACAACAGAGAAAGAAGTTGGTTCGATTGCCTGCAATAACATCAGAAAAATGACAAAGTGCTTCACTTAACTCAGACTGTAGACTACATTTATAACATGAAAGAAAAGGAGAACCTTTTATGATAATGTAGATGAACAAGCTTTTTCCTTTTCTAATTTTGGATAGCTGTTCATACTCCCAACTTTGGGAGTGCTTATGGTACAATCAAAGCATTTCATTAACACTACCTTGTTATTTTTCTACTAAAAACTGTATGGCTCATATCTAACTCACCATGGCAACTTGAACAGAGGATTTGGAGAAAAACAAAAACAATGATCCACCGAGGTGAGAGGCATAAACTTTAAATAGTTCTTTTGCCATTTAAATATACTTACAATGTAGAATTGAGAGGCAGGACAATTTGTAGATAAACAGGAGAGGCAACTGCATGTGTGATCTCATCTTCATGAGATGATGCCTCCAAGCAATCTGAAGAAATTCCCTTCTTTCATTTTAAATCTTCAATTGTAAACAAAGAACCAGAGAGCTTTCTAATCTTCGGCCCAGGCTCACCTAGCTGCAGTGAGACATAAATCTCCTCATCTGAGCCATTCCTTAATGATGAGAGGTTTTTAGATTCTGGGTTGTCTCTTTGGTTAATCTGATGAACTGGAGACCTCCCATTAGAACTTGGAATGAATTGATGTTCTATATTATGAGTTCCTTCAATCCTATCTTCTGCATGATTCTCAGTGTACATTAGAGTTGGTTCCTGATGGGGTTCACCTTCAGCCAACACTTGCCGGATGTTCAAATTAAGAGGCTCAAAATTCTCTTCATTTTTATCTTTTGATGGAACCCGGAATTGGGGAGATGACTCTCCAACTGTA